GGGGGGGGGGGGGGAAGGCGCATTAGGTTGGTGTTCAATTTCCCTAATGTGATTCAGTTCACCATATACACCAATATTTCATTTAATCTAATCAACACATCAGCGTGAATAGGAATGCCCTCATTGAATTATGTTTGCGGATACACATTAAAACGATATGTCTTGTTTGATTCGTGATCCTTTCTCACGACAGTTGATACTCACCGCAACCCTCTTCATCGGAACCATCATAACAATCGCGTTGTTTGTCGCAACGACGTCGGGAATCGATACACTCGCCAGAGGTGCAGCGGAACTCATGGGGCTCACATCGAGTTTCTAATCGAAGGAAATACAGAAGCAAAAAACGTGGAACGGAGTTAATTAAGGATACCGCATTGTTTTTGTTGGCCATACACCACGTAAAGAACCATTACGGTGCTTTCTTATGGATGTGCCAACCTATTCGGGGGGGGGGGACCATGTTCTCGCAGGCAATATGCATGATCGACATAGCTCACAACATGAGAGCACGGTAGATTTGATAGAGCTGGTGCTAGCCGAACTTTAAACTGTGCTTAGAATTACAAATAACACTATATGCAACATGATCATACACATGAAAACACGCGCGTACACAAAAGAGTGATGATTTAGATTCACGTTTTGACCAAGACCAACGTGTTTGGCTAGTTACTCTCTTAGTCCGTCTTCAAGACTATCTAATTTCGGGCAGGATGAACCACTTACCACAACCTTCCTCATCCGAACCATCATAACAGTCGCGTTGTCTGTCGCAACGACGTCGGGAATCGATACACTCGCCTGATGTGCAACGGAACTCGTGTGATTCACAACGCGTTTCTACAAGTGGAGAACAAAAGAAAGTATTTCGCAGTTTCAGTCAAACAACAATGATGGTTAAGGGTACTTTTACGGTAGATAGAAGATAAATGCCTATGTGGAATGACCATACTTTCCAATACAACTTCACAAATTTCATTTTGTTCTCACTATACTCTCCTATAGCATTTTAATTGCTTATCACTGGTCCATTTACCATACATCGCATATAAGCAAAGTGAATTCGTCATGTATATATCACATGAAGCGTAAGCTGAAAAACTAAGGGGCTCTGGACAGCTGTTTCGACCTGGTTGGGTCCCATCAACAGCACGAATCTATCGACCTAACCGGGGATTGAAATAAACAGCTAAGTTGTGAAAGTTTCCAATCGAGTCGTAACCTGGACGCTAGTGCTGAGATGAGCGAGGTGCGAGGCCCGCAATAAGCTCAAAAAGATAGATTGTACTATATCGTGTAAATGAAGAATGAAAACGGTCTGATCAACTGCCAGGTGGCCGAGTGGGTAGGCCGTGAAACAAGCGCTTACCACATCCGTCTTCGTCCGACCCGTCGTGGCAATCACGTCGTCGGTCACAGCGTTGTCTCGCATCAATACATTCGCCAGATGTGCACCGAAACTCGTACGATTCACAACGCGTTTCTATGAGCAATCGATGTAACAACGCAAGAAATTAGTTACGATCCTTTTTGGTAAAACTTGGACGAGCAAAACTAGCAGTAGGTTGTGGTAATTTCGTACTTGTGACAACAACAACAGCAGATATATGATGATAACCTTTATCGTGTACTTCTTATTGAATAGCCGATGCTACAGAAACGGGGCCGAGGCCACCCAGATGCATTCTAGAGACTCTTAAAAGTGGAAGCATTTGTTGGCGGTGGCGAACACACGACTTCCGGATTTCTGGAGCTACAATGAGAAGACTTTTGGCACATGCATAAAACCCTAGGTGAATCGTTTGTAACCACGTGGCATACCGTAACTGTTAGTCAAGATTTGTTACTGACGAAAAGTCAACAGTAAAAGACTGGCGGAAAGAGTTTTTCATTCTTGCATACACATTGTATTCTGTGATTACGTACTGGCAAGTACACTGATAAAATGAGGTCTGTTTTGGCCCGAATTAAACCGAATCAAGAGTGAAATCCATTCCGTTGCTAAATGAATTCTATTTGTTCACAACAGTGCTCGCTTGAGTCGGAAACCAGTAGACTTTAAAATTGTTTTGTAGTTCGCGCATGCAATATGACTACGCGAGTGACTCCTTCCAACGGTTGAATTTAGTTTCTATTGATCGTGTTCACATTTGGCGAGAGATTATCAAACTCAAACTAGCTAGATTTGTAGCCCTGTTTGTCTCCTACACCTTCTCCCACCTCGCTTTGACCACAAAATCCACAGTTGTTTAGCCTCAAACCCCGCAATCCTCTAAACCTCTCTAAACCATTAGTGCTTTTGCCTCGAGCGAATTACGGGCAAGAACGGATGCATATCTCTTCAGAATTCGAATGACCTGGTAATTAACCGTGGCATGAATGAAAGTGCTCGCCGATCTTCTGTGAGATTCACTCATCATACGGATAGCCCGTGCATTTTTCACTTAGAAATACCCGCATGACTCACATGTACCGCTGCACTGGTCATTAATGTACTAGAATTTTATGTGGAATCTCAAAGTTTTATACATTTCTAGAGTGAATGTAAAACTTGACAATAAAGCACTCCTATTGTGAATTTTATATCGTTGATAACACAGCGATATCGGTAGATAATTGTATAGTAAATCACTCTGTTCATCGTTTTGTCACAACAGATGCATAATCTACTATGGTGAAGACTATCGGCTGCTTTTTTGTACTACTAGAGCCTTCCGTCTACGTCGCTCACTTCCCATGAAAACCACTGCAGTGTTTGTTTGGCGTTATTACATCTGGATGGCCGTTTACTGCACTGCTCTCAATCAGTTCAGTCGTGCAGCAACTTTGAGGGACTGCCACTTTGATGTGGGATCAGTGTACTTCTTATCTGGTAAATGTTATACGATGCAATCAGAGATGTTCTCAGTCTTGGGATCGAAAACAATTATTTAACAATAATTGGTAATCTGCATTTGACTCACAGTTACTCGTGAGTAGTGAGTTGGGATAGCTGATATTAACCGTCCCCAAGACTTCACATTCACACACGCTGTCCAGGTCTTTCTGGCTTTTCAGTTCCTCTTGCAAAGTCAACGTGCAAGTTGATATAAACTTTGGTCCTTCAGATAAAATGACCATTTTGTAGAATCGTGAATAACTTTTAATTATTCCTTTCACCGCATGGCTCCCTCACTGAGTTATAAAGGTCTAAGATGCAACGCGGATGATAAATAAAAGAGCAAAGATGATAAAATACTAGACGAAGCTGAATAACAAAGGGAGAAGCTGTAGGCCACAGGTTGTTACCATTGACACTGTGGATAGAATGAAATGGTCAATCCAGGAGTTGCGGAGAAAAATGTAATTTCTGTCAGTGAATAAGTTCACATTTAATCTTGTTATTCGTGTGAATTGCTCTCAATTCCTCCATTGTATCTTTGTATCATTGTTAAGTGCTTTGTCAAGCGTGTCTTTCAATGCCAGAAATATTTAGCCTATTGCAGTTGGCTCAAAGAAATCGGTGTTATTCGAGAGAATCTCTGCCTCAGAGAATACACTCACTAGGCTACTGAGCATGAGCATGGTGGCCGACTTATCGATCCATCTTGACCTGATTCGCCTCCTTACTCGGCCGACCGAAGCCAAGTACCACCGAGTCTCTTCATTCTCGTCTAAAGTTCACATGATCAACGATAAAGGCCACAACGTACCTGGGTGGGGTGGGTGGTGACAAACAGTCAAACCCCACCTCACCGGAGCTTTCATATTCGCTGAGTTAACTCAGAAGTTAAAGGGGATTCAATGAAGCTGAAAAGGTATGGACTCGAGTTTCATTCTTAATAGAGCTCATTAGTGGTGAGTATTTTCCGCCCCGTCCGCTCTTTGAACTCTGTACCCATCCCATGGAAGGCGTATATGTTACCAACCAACCAGCTTATTCCAGGGCTGAACCGAATTGCCAATTCATGTTGGTTCAGGTGCAGTCTTTAGTTCGGTGTTGGCCCGAGAGCATCGAAGGGAGAAACAGTTTTTCATCTTTTAACTACAATCGAAAGCCTCCCATCAAACTAGGCCTTCCATTGGTAATCTTCCAGTGCAAAGAAATTTTGAAGCGTCTGCTCTATGGGTTGATACGGACTAGTATATAATTCCTCTTCGCACCTTGTCAGATTCACAAACTTTCCAAATGTTGCAAAAAGCAAGATATGATGCTCGCGGTAAGCTCGTAAAGATAAGCTTTGCTGTATCATGTATAGAC